TTTAAAATCTCTTAAAAGGTAACAAAATTAGAAATCTTCTAAAAGTCTGTCACAACAGAAAGCATGGCTGAGAAGGATTCAATCGTCACTCACAATTCCTGGACTATGTTATCACGTAATGACAACAGCTCCATTCCCAGAAGTGGTACAAAGTCCACACCAGAATTTTTATGACTCCAAGTGAACTACATAAAACACTGCAGAGTTGATTAGCAACTTCATTGAACTGAAAGCAAGAAAGGCAGAGAGGAAAAATTGTTTGCAAGCAAGAAAGTATTGTTCCTGACAGTTCTTTATTAAATATCTCAGCACACTTACTACTATTTTCTTTCAAAAACAACAAAAGATATTATTGGCAGCTTTTATTTATAATAGAAAAATTATTTTAAACCTTTTCTGGAAGATAAAACTTGGAGAAATTTGAGAAGGTCTCTAAAATAAGGAGTCCGGATATTCTGAGTCTGAGGGTCTGGTATGGTTATTTCTACTTAATTAGACTAGTAGTTAAAAGCCAGACGCATATAATTCCATTTTGGTTTAAAATATATATCAATATAAGCATGCATGTTAGTGCACATGTGCCACTTACAAACTTCTTGTCACTTTTTGAATCTTGTAAAAGATACTGTTGGTGCCCTGCCCACATCTCCGTGGTACACCCTAGAAGTCACCTGCAAACAGTTCCCTCTTAGGCAAAAAGTTTCTGTCTCTAGTCTGGGATCATTCTCTGGCCAGGAGCAAGCCTACCCTTTACCCCCTTCCTGGTCTCAGCAACTTCATCTCCCGTTCATTCTTGACTCAATTTCTGCCCACCTGTATGTTACTTAAAATATTCTCCTCACCCTCTCCGTGAACCTTGTCGTCTTCAGAATCTCGGGGACTGTTCCACGAATAACCTCCCTAACTGTTCACTCTTCCACTGATCCTCACCTGCACTACTGCAATGGTGTTCCCAGCGACTGTCCTTGTTTCTGGTGTTATCTCCCACAGTCCACTCACTACACGGCAGCCAATGTGATCTTTTAAAAACATAAATCAAACATGTTACTCTCTTGCTTATAAAACTTCCAATGGCTTCCTCTTGCACTTGAAATAAAGTCCAAACACCTCACTGTAGCCTATGATACCTCATAGTGTCTGTCATCCGCCTGCCTCCTAGATTTCATCTCATACCATTCCCTCCCTCACCCATGCCACTCCAGTCATTCTGCTGTTTTCTGTTGCTCAAACACACCAACCAAAATGCTTTCACACTTACTATACACTCTAGCTGGGTGTCTTTCCCCAAATTTTTGCATAGTTGGCTCCTTCTCATTATCCAAATTGCAGCTCAAATGCCACCTCTTCGAAAAGACCTTCCCTGGACTGTTTAAAGTAGTTATTCTCTATCACATTTTCTTATTTAATTTTATTCATTGCACTTCTCATTGTCTGAAATTGTCTCACTCTGTGAAACTTCTTTATTGTCTGTCACACTTCTAGAATCTAAGTTCCATGACAGCAGGGATCTTATCTGTCTTAGTCACAAGAAAGTCCCTGTGCCTGGAACTTATTAGTAGGTGCTGTATACTCAAGTAATCCTTAGCAGATACTCATTACACACAATATCATATGCCAGTCACTAAACTTTATCACCAAATGTTCCTCCATGTCAGTTACCATTAAAAAGAATGATACACTATACATTCTTTCTATGAAAAAATTATGCAAATTTATTCCTGCCTACCAAATCAGTCCTAATGAGAACAAAAACACATTTCAGGGGACAGTGTCAATATTCCTCTGCAAAAAAGGTGCCAGTACACTGGTGCCATAATGAAAACAGTAGTGGCTGTAGACAGTGAATAAGAGACAGTGAATTCTTATACTAATTTTTCAGCCTTCAAATGGATCTTACCAATTAACACAGCACACTAAATTTAAAATTGAACATTTTGGTGTCCATAATGTAAATAACTAATTAAAATCAGAGTCTAAAATTTTTTTATCTCAAATGGGTCTTTGAATGCCTATCTCTGAAATTTCTATTTGCCTTCCTTGATTATGCTATAATGAATTCTTTTCCTTGTTTGAAACTATGTGGTCTAATATTTTGTTGGATGCCATCTCAAAATAATTAATCAGAATTTTAACATTTAAAGATTTTTTTTTCCTAATCAGGAAATGGGGCTTAGCAGAATTTCTCTGCTTTGTCTTGACCCTCTCTTACAGAAAAGCTCCTCTGTGGTCTTGATATTTCAAAGTAGAACTCTTCCTGAACCTAGTAGATAAGAAACTTTTAGCGCCTGTTTCTAACTGTTCATGAGTGAGGGCCATTACAGAAAGTAAATAACAATGGAAACTGAACAGGTGCTGATAGAATTCTTGCCGTTGTTTTTTAGACTTTCTTTTAAACTTTATTTCTTCACAACTATTTTATGGGATTCAATTACAGTGAGTAGAGAATATGATCCATTGAAGAGAACAACAAATTTCACTTAACTTCATAACAATCTTTTTGGACTTCATATTTATTTGAAAGTAGAATGAGGCAAAATATTTATTAAATTTAACTTTAGTCACAGTTCTCCACCCCAACACACACACACATATTCTGTACGTGGCTTTGCAGGACTTCCCAGAAAACCTAAAATCCTTCTATTGTTTTTCTTTCCTATAAAGAAAAATTAGTTGGTGATATGATACTTGCAGTATAAGTCATTACAGGTCTGATGTTACAGTTGTTACACATTATTGAATCTATCAAACGAAAAGGGAGCACAAAGGGAATTTCCAAATGCAGCTGCTATTTCCCATTTGTTAAATCCTTTTATTATACCATATAAGTACACAGCTGGGAAATACTATAGAGTGGGAGTTAAAACAAAATATTTTGGCTTCTAGACATTCAGAATACACAAAGTCTCCAGTGGAAAGCAATGCTTGATGTCAAAAGAGAGTGAAAGTTTGAAAACATTTCTAGCAACTAGGATTTCGTTTATACTAACATATAACATATTTGTAAATTGAAACTATTTTGTACTACCATAAATCACACTTTATATAAATTTGGTAAGCAAATTCTTAATATCTATTTTCTGACAAACTTTTAGATCATAAAATTTTGAGAATAACTCACCAAAACAACCTAGCACTTGCCAAGATACAAACAAAATTTTACTAAGAAAAATAAGTAAAGTGTTCTCTAAAGAAGTAAAATTTGAACTGTATTATTTCTGCCTCAACCTTTATTTTCCAAACTAGTTATTTTCATTTGTCCGTGACTATATTTGGCATAAAAGCCAAAATATACCTTGAACCCATGCCTTCTCTCTATCCTCTCTGCTTCCATCCTAATCCAAGCCACCACCATCTCTTACCTGGACTTCTGAAATAGCCTCCCAATAGTCTTCCTCCTTTCACTCTATCTGCCCCCCATCCATTCACCATACTACAGCCAGAATTGTCTGTTTGAAGTGTTCTTAAACCCTTCAATGGCTTTTCATTGCACTTAGAATCAAATCTCACTTCCTTAATGTTATCTACAAGGTCTTGTTGGGTATAGCCCCTACCAATCTCTCCAACTATATCTGAACCTACATTGCATCTTCACTCATTACACTCCAGCCATAAAGACTATCTTTCACTTCCTGAAACTCACCTATAATTTTCTCACCTTGCTATGCAAGGAAAATAAATCTTCCAGTGAATCTATCTAATTGTATAATGACGATCCCCTTTGAACCTAAAGTTAGTCTAGAAAGTCTTATTTTTATTCCAATCCCTGCTTCTCACTCACTGCTCCAGAGCACTGGCTGTGCCTGCAAAATCACCTGAAAAAAAAATGTCCACCTCCATAAATTGTGGAATCAAGTCTTTGAATTGGTTCTGAGACATTAAATATAGAGCAAAAACCCAAATATATGTTATTACTGGTAAAGGCATTGTAAAATATTACCTTATTTTTCACTAAGAAATAAAACTTTTCCTCATTGCCGATTTAAAATATTTTTCATTAACTCAACCAAAAGTTAAGAAATGTACAGTGTTTTAAATTCTTGTTTTTTAAATTTTATTTATTTATTTTTATCCCCCAAAGCTCCAGTAGATAGTTGTATGTCATAGCTGCACATCCTTCTAGTTGCTGTATGTGGGACGCGGCCTCAGCACGGCCAGAGAAGCCGTGCGTCGGTTCGCACCCGGGATCCGAACCAGGGCCACCAGCAGCGGAGCGCATTCACCTAACCGCTAAGCCACGAGGCTGGCCCTTAAATTCTTAATCTAATAAAATTTTTAAAGTTTTAGTCAGTTCTAGATGTTAAAAATTTGAACGTTTTTGCTTTAAACTAGACAATTAATGTCATTGTTGTGGTTTCTGTTTTGATCGTTAGGGATGGAATTTAACATGGGATAGTTGGCTGATACACTGTGTGTATTTGACATTGTTGTTTCTACCTTTAGGGCAAACTCCTGCAGTCTAACTGAATGATACTCAGGAGCTTTGTATGTCCTTTTCAAATTAATATATAGGCACATAAGTGAGACAAGCTTTAGTATAAATCAAGAATGACTATTAAAAATGATAAATACCTACTTTTCCTCACTGAAGATGTATTCACTATATGACCTCATTCACAGAGACATGTTTGCTTAATACAATTTTTCAATATTAATACACAGCCACACTTCATTTGATCATCCCTATTTTGTGGTATTATCAAGCTCACCACCTTAAATTCAGAGATTCAGAGAATCAGATAACCAAATCTCCCCCAAAATAAATTTAAATTTCTTTTGTCAAGTTGACCTAATAATGCACAAAAACTAAATCACAAAACATTTTCCACTTTTTCCCAGTTACTAGCATATTAACAATATTAATAATATATACGGTAGTTGTTTCATGACTTGAACACAAATAACTCTAATGGTATGTATTTGAGCTTTTTCTAAAACACCTACTTGTAATGAGGCCATACTAACACACACTTAGTGACAGTGGTCAGATTTTAAAACCTCACCATTCTTTGCTGAGACGACAGAACACTGTCCCAGTCGGCATCTTGTTGAATGGTATTGACAAGTGTTGGTAGCTCCTCAGAGTGAGGTTTGTTGTGCATTATGGGGTGCAGAGGCAGATGGGAGGCCACATGTTGATCACTGCCCTCTTCCTTTTCCCTTGAGGTCAAATCTTGGGTCAACGTTTCCTCTCCATCAGCTGCACAGGCAAATGGAGAGGTGGCTTGCTTGGAAGACATTCTTCTGCAGAAGAAGGAAACAGCATGGATTAAAAACAGTTGTCAATGACAAAAGAATAAACCATCCCTTACATTTGACTAATTCAGGAAAAAAGGAAACTTCTCTAACTTCAGAGATGTTTATGATCTACTCTAAACCCCTGAAGAAGAACTCTTAGCTTATCTCCTCCACTTTCCCTCTCTGCTTTTAACTCAGCAAACCTCTTCCCAGTAGTTGCTGCGTATTTTCTCTCTTACCAATCCACAAAGGAAATTTTTATGGAACAAGTTTTCATAATATATAATATATGTATGTGCGTATTTTTACTCCCAGTTCTCCCCACTAGATTATAAGCTCTTGAGAGCAATTCAGTTGATGGCTAGCAATGAAAAAAAGAAATGAATGAATGAACTGGCAAATGAGCCAGTTTGGAGGATGACTTGAAAGCACAAATATCCAAATTTCTCTTATGCTTTATGTAGGAACAAAAGAAGTCTATGTAAGAAAATATAATTAGGCAAGTAAGTAATCTATGATGAAAGTCCTAAGCAAATTTGGTCCTGACTTCTTAGTTTACATCTTGTAATATGAGTGCTAGGCCTAACACTGCTTAGTGCCAATCTGCTCTTTTCTAAGGACTTTCAAGCTGTGTCAACCACCACAGCTTAATTTTTAAGTGACATATTGATTGAGTGGCTGATAAAGTTAGATTAGTCTTAAGGCAATTTTGTAACATTTGAATTTAATATACGAAATAACTATGCCTCTATTTTATATAAGAAAGTACATACAAGATTCAAAGCATTTACTGTGAAAACAGCAAAGTGCCTACTATGCATAACATTTTTAAAACTTTAAAAACAATTACTAAATATTCATCTATGTATCCACAAGTAAACATTGACGACATTCAGCACAAGGTCTCCATTCTGTGCTTTCACATATAATCAGAAAATCAAGATTATTAAACAAAATTTCAAAACTTCTAGAATATCACTTTATCAAGATGATTTTCTTAGCAAAATATTTAGAAATAAAACCGCCAAAAGTTTATAACTTAAAAGAAGAGGCGACTGAATATTTTTTCCGAAACTTTACATTGTTTTGGTTTATAGCATCTTTAGCTCTAAAATTGCTGTGTAACGAAAGGAATAAAATCTCCACCTTAATTGCTCTTTAACATTAATTGATTTCATACCATTTTCTTAAAAATGCACAAATCAGTTAACATAGGAAACCACATGAGCATTTTTCAAATTAGCAAATCATTAACTTGCTAGTACTGTTTCTACAGACAAATAAATACTGATTAAAGGGTCTAGAAATCTGAGATTAACAGTTAAATTTACAAATCTGTCACATGCTTTCATGAATATTGCAGTGAAGGAAATATCAAGTGCAAAGAAAAATAATTAAGTTAATTCCAATTTAAACAGTAGTTTTATGTAGCAGCCCATGTTTCACATAGGATTTAACAGCTAATGCTAAATTTCTCACAATTAATGAGGGGGCTCAGATTTAGTATCCTACAGTGAAAAAAATTAATATAAGATCAGCTAATCTAATTATGCACAGTTCTAAATAAAAGTATTACAGGCTTTTGAAGTGCTTTGAAACATATTAAAATGCTGATACCTACTTATAATAATCATTCCACAAATAATGAAAAGTTCCTCTATTAGACTTGATACTAAAAAATAATATAGGGGAAAGGAAGTGAAGAAGAATGTCTATATTTTCTTTAAGGAGAAAGAAATGAAATGTTCTAAAGAGTACTATATCAAAGAATCAGATAAGTATATTCTTGACTAATTTCTATCAATACTATCAAATGGACAAATGGACATACACTTATGGGAAAGGATACCAAAGGATGTTTCTTAGTATACAGGAATCACTCAAGAACTTACTTTATTGTAAGTAAGCTTGTAAATACTACAGTAAAACCAGGCAAATTATAACTATTCTGCAAGTTTATCAAGAGCTTGCCATCAACAAGAGTGTTTTCATAGTTCAGATAATGACAGTACCAATAATGTAATCATTCACATTAAAAACAAAAGAATGAATTTGCCGCTGCTTTTTAAAACAGCTAAATACAATTGAAAGTCATAATCCAAAACTCGGAGTGACTTTAGCTCCCCAACAAACATCTTCTCATTATAAAGTCACTTGGCTCCTTCCAATAGCAATATCTGGGATTGTTGCTCTAGTATAAATTAATCATGACACAAAACCCAAAACGAAAAGTCTCTTAAGAATAATTTCAACTTTAGACTGCACCAAGGAACAATAGTGTACAATCCTAATTAAACACAACGGTGCAGCTGTAAAAATAGACTAAATCTGTCCAAAGCTACAAGTTGAGTTTAAAGGCTGGTTTGTTAGAGTGTTTTCTTAAGGAGGGCTGGGCCCTTAGTCTTAATCAGCCAATAAATTATTTCCTGCAATTACATTAAATAGAAAATTATCTTCAAATGGGGAGTGTTAATTGAAAATCAAAATTCAGAGGGAAGTTTAGAAATTGCACGCTGAATACAATTAGCGAGGAAAGGCTTCACCTCTACCTCATCAACAGTCTTCTGGTGATTCCTCCAGTGACCATTCAGGAAAGCTACCTAGTTATAACATCACACAATTTGCCTTTTATTTTGCACCTATAAATACAAATGTATACTAAGGTTGCAAATAAAATACAGGCTTCCAAAAAAAAAAAATCAATATTAAATCTGACTGTTCATCCTCAGTTCACACCATCATTCAGGGACAAGGAGACGGAGAAGGTAGGACAACAATGGTGAACCAAGAAAGGCAGACTCAACTTTGAAATCCTTCCCTTTGGCAAAGGAATTAACATTTTTTGTTGCAAGAAGAATACTTTCCCATGTCATATTTTACTTAATTTCTTGTGTTTACTCTACTATAGTTCTCAATATGTTGGTAGCAGAGAAAATGGTGATTTTTGTTCTTTCAGCTAGCTATCAGTCCACCGTACGCATTTCCTTTTAATAAAATTGTTGGGCTTGTTTTAGGGTTGTTTTTATTGTTGGTTTTGTCGTAGTTTTTGGTTTGGGGTGGTGGTTTTGTTGTATTTTTAAAAGGAAATGTGCACAAATTCTTTTTAATGTGCAATTTGTTAAATAAGTCTCAGATTTACTGATTATTTGATTCGATTTACTGATTATTTTTGCACACTTTAATAAAGAATCCTTCAATTTACTGATTACATCCTCATTTATTTCATTTCTTTACTTTAGCTTTCCCTTTTAAAACATTCTACAAGACCAACTAAACTGTATTCTAGAAGCTGCAAAGAGACTTGACTTTTGGCAATGCCTTTCCTATAACCACTGCAGCATGGCTACTCTCCTTTAGAAACTCATAAATCAAATATACACTTGTTTTAAGATTTTAAAATGTCACATGGGATGCTTACATTTTTTAATGCTCATATCAGTAATTTTCCATTACAAAAACTTTCACCCCCAGTGTATTAGAACACTGACTTACTTCAGCTGCTGCCATATACAACTTTTAAGCAAAAGAATCAAAATCCTTGTGAAAATGGTCAATTTCTATGTGACTTTACTTTGTTTTATTTTTGCACTATTATAACTTAAAAATCATTCAAATGAATTGTTTTTTTAATTTGTATTAAAAAAAATATCTCCCTAGTTATACCCCCTGAAAACAGGAGTTTATAATGGAAGTGCTGACACAACCCTAACTAAAGCAGCGCAAATGTTGCCGCTATAATACACAAAATCAAGTTCTATTATTCTAAACTATCCTCGCTCATGGGATTTTTCTTTACTGTGCTCCCAGCCAAACTGCTGAAGCATGAAAAATTTAAATGCAATCAAATGCGCCCAATTCTACTTTACTAGAACAAGTGTCTACAGTGGTACAATCTTAAAAGGAGATGCAACAGATTTGTTTGGTGTTTTTTTTAACTGTTTATTTATAATACAGTGCATCGGAGATAAAATAAAAGGAAATTACACTCACATGATACCAGTGTATTGACTACACAGAGTACATTATAATCAGAGAGAAAAACTACATTGTCAACTTATCACATTGGTTAAACAAGATGGTTTTCTGGGGCATAGCTATTATCAAGCAAAACCTCCAAAGAGAATTACATGTCTTTGGGACACATGAAACTGAATTCCCATCATGTGTTCCCCGAGTTTGAAATGTCTCTGCCCAGCACTTCAAGTGAATTCCTAGGATGCCAGGCCATTGGGAAGAACTTCAGGGCTTAGGACTTTTGGGAATGAGATTGTTGGAGATACAGCCTCCAGTAATTGATCATGTTTTCTAGGAAGTCAGTAGGAGTGCCTCTAGAAAGATGATGATTATTTTACTCCAAAACCCCAGTATAAAATCTGAATGTTTAGGCCATTACAAACCTACTCAGACAGTAAATTTACTTCATCTCCTTTCACAAGACATCAGATTAGCTGGTCTAAGACTTTATAAAATGGTGAGGACTAGATATCTACACATTAAATCCTCTATCTCAGAAAATCATATTTTCTAGAACTTTAAACCCTTCTGATTTGATGATGTTATTTTTTTAAACCAGTTATTTGTATATGTTTAAAAGTTAGGATTATTTTAAAACAACTTTCTCATAAGGCATAGCCACTCAAAATCACTTTTTTTCTACTTACTATTGTTTGGAAAAAAATCCATCTTAAAACTATCATTTGGGACTTACACAACTATCCAAAGGAGCCTCTGAATTTTTTAGAACAATATTTTTAAACTGATTTTTAAAAATGTTTTCATTACTTCTAGATTATTATCAAACGGCATTCACTTTTTAGGTGTGTTACATTTATTCAAAAGAAGGCCTGTTTTTAACATAAAGCAACATTTTAATAGTTGGTTTACTTAAAGAAAAGATTAAAAATTCAGGCCAACATTCACATTTATTTTTGCAACTCAGCCCCAGGCTACCAAGGTAGACTTATTTCAGTCAGATAATTCACTGTGAATTTAGTGCTGCAATTGAT